AAACGGTTGGTCCCTAACTCATAATATAGCAGAAGTAGAACTATTTCTGTTAAAGTCTGACTTTTAACCCCCACTTTAACAGAGCCGCACGCGAGTTGCACGCATTCTATTTCATTCTGGTTAATGGTGGGATATAATACTGCATTCGCATCAGAAGTGATATTAAATCAAATTAATGGATCTTTTTGTTTGATTTCCATGTGCTTCTAGAGAAGAGACTTTAATCTGAATCTGGAAAGAGGGACAAATTATTTTGAAGGCTATAGCGAGGATGTCAACGCCCAAATGACCCAGGCCTTCTCAACGGCTGCATACCGCTTTGGCCACAGTTTGGTGCAAGAAGAGTTCAGACGTTTTACTCAAGATGGCTTTGAACACATATGTGACAAAAATTCAAAGGCAGAGTACCTGCCTATCCAAGTGAGGGATTTTGGCAATCCAATTTTCCTTTATGACAAGTGTAATGGAGCAATTGATTCTATTTTTAGAGGCCTGATGAAAATGCCTGCTGCAAAAATAGATGGGTGAGTGAAACTTACAAAGCGTTAACTGATTAAAGAAAAGTTCCGAGGAATTTTCAGTGGAGTGTCAAAAGTAATCGGGATTGCTTTGATTAAATTTGCCTCACTTCGCTGTGTGATTGGTCCAAAAACCTCGCACTACCTTCTAAGCCAACAAGAATCAAAACAAACACCAATTGTGACTTAGTCACTTGTGGTTTCCCGCGCTTGATGTTAGTTTGAGTTCTTATTCTCTCCTAGTGATATTATCCTTTGTTGTGCTTGGCTTCTTTGGTTACTTTGGGTTGGTTTTATGACAGTTAATCGAAAAGCGCTCCATTTGGGTAACATGAGGTCTGGAAGGTTTGATTGGAAAAAACCCCGTGCGAAGCAAAATTTGCCATAAGCTATGGACGAAACGACACTATAGGGGCCTCTGCCTTCATTTTTGGCTTTCTCTTTGTTCCCTTTCTTCTTCCATGTGTAAGGACGTTCACTGATGTTTATTGTTCTTATTGTAGGCGTTTTTCCAGCGCGGTGCAAGAACACCTGTCGCGAGGTGAGGGCGATATCGCCGATCTCATTTCCCTCAACAACCAAAGAGGTCGTGAACATGGTGTTCCTGGCTACACAGTGTATCGTAACCTCCCTTTGTGCAACATTGCACCAAAGGTAAATAGTTTCGACGACCTTAAGAAAGCTGGCTTTGATCCCAAGGACATCAAAAACCTCAAAAAAGTGTACAAGGACGTCGAAGACATCGATCTTTTTACCGGAGGTAAGTTCGTTGCTAAGAAGAGAGCGCTTTTTGAACGTCGTAGAGAATCATAACCAATGCATTAAGGCCGATCAGAACACGGGAAAATACCGCAAGCCGAGGAGAATTCAAAGTAAAAAAAATAAGCACGGCTGCCTAAGGCGGAAAGCCATTAAATTCTTTAACAGTGAGTAAGAAACGATTCGATTTTCATTTGTTCATTGGAGAACAGTGAGTCAGAAACGAAATTCACTTATGGGCTGAAAGCTACTGGTTAACCTGAGTGATTAGTCTGTATGGGTTTCAACTATTAAAAGATTAGCCATCGAAAACGGTGAGAGTATCTAAAGGCAAGCTCGTTAGCGAGCCTTTACTTAAGTGTTTTGAAAAATCACTTCTACACAAAAATTTGGATAAAATAGTACACAAGACATTGTTGATGACTGAGTTCTAATGTACAAACTAGCATTAGACTACACTGAAAGGGAGAGAGTGGTACGAAAACAGCGCAAATTTATATTTCCAAAGCGTTGACTCAAATCATCATGTCAAGGGGTGAGGTTTTCCTGTAGCTTCTCTCGATTCTCAGTCACAATTTCTACACTCTAGAAAGATGATAAGAATCCAAATGCTAAGAAAATAACTACACTGCGCCGCTACCTCTCATAATGTTTACTATTTTGCCGTTAACAGCAATGTTGGAACCTGATCCCGTCAACGGAGGGCTCCTAGGGCCAACCGCTCAGTGTATCATAGCAGATCAGTTCAATCGCTCTAAATCGGGAGATCGCTTTTGGTATGAAAACGCACCAGATCCAGAAAAGAATACCGACAACACAGCGTTTACGCGATGCCAACTTCGCGAACTCAGAAGAGTTAGTGTGTCCAAGCTTATCTGCGACAACATGGACTTCATCCCTGCAGTCCCGAGGTTTGGATTCATACAGTCCAAGACTCTTGTTGACTGTGATAAGCTTCCAGAAATGGACCTTAGAGTGTTCACAACACGCAGATGTAATATCCCAGCCAGAAGGTAAGATAAATATTCGTCATTCAATATCATCCAAAATTGAGATCAAATCGACCAATCAGGAAAAAGGTCAATTTCACATTACTAATGAGAAGTCAAAGGTGCAAGTTTTACATCTGATTGGTTAAGACTTCATGGCAGTGCCAACGAGTCCTCTTGACAATTCTTATGGAATGGTTGATCTTAAACAATGCAGACCTTCTGCTACCCCGCAAAAAAATTGCTGGATGACTATAATTAAAGCAGTTGTTAACCAGCATATTCTCGTTCTTTCTTTAGTGATAGCGTGAGTAATGATAGCGAGAGTGGTGATAGCGAAGTGGATGACTACCGCTTGAACGACGAGTTGTAAAGGTCACGCCGGTGGAACGATGGAAACAGAAGAAATAAAACCATTTTTTTTGCCATGCGTTTCACAACACATTCATCACATTCACTTCATAATTAAGAAGAAGCAATTTTTGTGCTGGGTTGAATACGTTTTCTGCGCGTGTTAGATAGCTGTAATTTTCGCGACAATCGTAATGTTGTTTGTCTAATTTAAACTTTAGGAGAAGCTTTGAGAAGCCACTTTTTCATAAATATCTACCTTACCAACTCCTCATCATATTTATTTTAAATTGGTTGCGATTTCGATATCTGACTTTAGAGTTTCCAATTAGACGTTTCATCTTTAAAAGGAGCGTTTGCTTAGCAAAAACAATTTCTTTAAAACGTATTCAACCAAATGCACACGAGAAGTAACAATAATTTTTAAGGCTGCTGCGTTCTTTTTTATAACTATTATTTTCGCAATAACTTTTTGGAACAAGTTCAATTCAGTAACCGCCAGGGAATGAGTACATGGATGCTTTGTAATCATGTTTGAATACATAATAAAATGATGAAAAATCTTTCATCATGAGGTATAGACGTCTTGTTACAAAAGAACTCGGAAAGGTTCTGGGTAGGAAGATTGGACCTCAGTTTGGAAGAAATTCGTTTCTTACGTGAAATACTCCTTCCGTTTTCATCTGGGATTAGTCCTAAAAATTTGCTCCAGAAATTTATCATATTTTAGTGACCTGTGGTGGTGTAACTATGAGCGTTTATCATAAGATGCCCATGAAAAAAGTTAACCCTTTAACTCCCACGAGTGACCAGGACAGAATTTCTCCTTACAATATCAATACAATATCAAGGCAAGTGATGAGATAAACAAAAACATCAATTAAGGATTAGTTGATCCAAAACTTATTCTCCCTGATAACTTTAAGTATTCCCATTACCTGTTTCCTGGATGTTGTACGAATATTGTAGGGAAAAAAAAGAAGGCACTTTAACCCTATAACTTCCAAGATATGATCGTCAATTCTCCCCTCTAGCTACTACACATTTCCTTGTAAATTGATTACGAGAATTTGGTGTTCAATCAAGGCATTAAATTGTATCTGATGAGGTTGAGTATTCTCACTACCTGTTTGTTGTGTAATATATGGATACTATCGTGAGAAGTTACAGGGTAATCACATCTGGGAGTTAAAGGGTTATGACATCTTTTGCGACACACGGCTCAGTTTCAGCGGCATTGCCACGACCTTCCCTCCCCCACCCCCCTAATGTAGGATGCAAGAACATTACGGGTCTATCCCTTGCAATTATTCCTCACAGCTCACCCGCGCCTATTTATGCTCCTCTTTGGAGAAAGGCACAGCGACAATGGAGGGTCTTTCGATTGATTTGGTTCTCTAGAAAGTCATTTTCCTCCTCTGATTTTAATATATTGCATAAGTTATGTGGAGAGCTGAAACAAGATCAAAATTCCAAAATGTTTTTATTTTGTTACGGATCATTCAAAAAACGTTGTCACAATTGGCTCCTTCCTTTTTCGAGCGGTTCGGTACATTCACAGTCTAGCTGAAATTCTTTCAAACATTCCTTACGATACAAAAATACTTGTCGCAACATAAACGACTGAAACTCATTAGACAGTTTGGTAACTTCTGGAGCACATTGCGGGCATATTTGACCCCGGATTTCCTTTACTAATCACAATATTTTCTCCGACTGCGTGAGAAATTCGCAAGCGTCCACCCTCTACGATTTTACAATAAATAACTTGTTACTTTAAAAGAAATCTAACTAAACCATTCGGCCAAGGTAAGAGTATTCAATAAATCGTCGGGCGAGAGTAGTTTTGGAAACTGCCCCACACATTCGGAGCACTGTCACAACTTTGGAAGCCATGAAACATATTTCCGGGATGTCTGCTTGACGGGGCTACGAGCGCAGAGTTTGAGCGACACTTCGACCTCAGTTCAGCAAATTCTGTAAACTCTTCTTCCATTTCATCAACCTTTTTCATCTTCGAGGGATGCAGCGAAGACGGACGAGTTTCTGAGTCAGATACGATTGACGCATTCGCTTTAAAACCGTGTGGGGGATCCGACGCGCTCCGCAAGCGACAATCTGCAACACGTAGAAGGTTCTTATTCTGTTTGGGTGCCATTGTCTTCGGAATTGTCTCTTGGACCGATCGAAATCCATTTACATTGAGCAGGGGAGATTCTGTCCGCGAAGTTAATGCACCATTCAAATGTTCCGCTTTCGCTTTCGCGGGTTGCGCTCCGTCCAAACACTCACCGCCTATTCCATCGAAGAACGTGCTTTTGCCCTCATCGTTGCGTACAAGCATTGTGTTGCTTGGCAAACCTCGTGCCAGTGACGCTTGATAACTTTCGTAATTGATCGTGAAAGCCAGAGAAAGGGCCTTGAAAAGTTCTCGTGCCTTGGCTTTGCTTTCGCACGTGAAGACAAATGCCTTAAATGGACTTTCTGCTCTGTCTCGTGCAATGAACACAAAAGCTTTCTCGTGAAAGTTGTCGATGTTACAGAAGGTTACCTTAGAGATCGGGAAATTTGCGATCAGTTTTCCGCTCGCTTCCTCGCTGACGCTCAACCTTTTCGAACACAAGTTTAGGATCATTTTCTTCTGCGTCTTACCGTTGCCATTTTTCCTCTGCTCTTCAAAGACTGTGGCGACGGGTTTTTCTGTCTTTCCACTGCCAGTCCCGCTTGCTCCCGCAACTTCTGCGGATCCAATGTACCGTACGCTGTATTGTACTCCAGCAATGACTCGATCTTTCTCGTCCGCATCACTGCATGTGAGTTGTTGGTGTCCTTTGCGGGCAAAACTCGGGCTCAGTTTTGAGAACATTTTTCTACTTCTGACTCGTTGAAGGTCTGGCGCTTATGGAAGGTAAATCCTTTTAGAGCATATGATCATCGCAACGCGACGAATGCACTTATAAGGGCAGAACAAGTGAAGCATGATACTTTGTTTATGGTTCCATTCTTACGTAATGGGATTACAACCGCATGCGCAAATGTCAAAGCCTTTCATCGATCCGTTTAAAAAGAGATTAAGCTAAGTGTCAACACGAAAATATTTGGATAAGAATTTTCCAATAATCGAAGTAAAAACAAACATTTTTGCAATGCCAAAGCACTAAGTAGTGAGAATCTACAAAATTTCCCTGCTTCAACCAAGAACAACGTTCTTACAAATCGAAAAGAGATGAAACACAGGAAGTGAATTATCAATGAAACCTATTAGCTGGCATGTTATCAAAACCGCCAGTTCTTTTGGTTTCCAAAACTGTTGTGACGTAAATTCACATGATCTGATTATGCCCCCTATGAAAGTGTCATGTATAAGGAATAAGGACGTCATAAGCTTCAACCTAGTGCGTGGCATTTTTCCGACATTAAGTTACATTAAAAATTGTATCACAGGAACTTGTGACGATAAATGCAAATGATTCTATGCAAGACTTTTGAAAAAAAACTGCTTCCCTACGAAGCACTGTTACGTAAATACGTTTCAAAGCGGGAGAAATTCCTTAGAGTGATTAAATTTTTGGCTCCAACAAAGCAGTTATTGAAATGTCAACACGACATTCCTTTCATCCTCCATGAATTGAGGATGAAAATTAAAGTTGAATTAAAGCACGTTGCTGAAAAATTATCATAAAAGAAACACTAACGTAGCACCCGTAAGGAGTATTGAAACGACTAAACTATTTTGCCTCTCTTATTTTCTATGGAACAAAAGTTAAATCCAACGAAAACACAAAAGAAAAACAAAGACAAAATACGGCAGAGTTCTTCATAAATTGGATCGCGATCTTCCATTTACAAGGACGAACAGGGATATACTCGCCGACTTGAATAAAATGACGTCATTAACAGAAGATGCAAAATCCACTGCGGCGATAAGAGCGTATATGCGCACATTTCTAGTAAAAAAAAGCAACAGAGCACCGAGTGGAAAAACCTTGCGCAGCTTCCCGGCTCATCTCTGCAATCTCATCAATGTGCGCACAAAACTTCCATCTACACAGTCTAGCGTAATCCTGAAGCAAAAGCTCCAAAATTACTCTCCGAAAAATGAGAATCCATAATGGCTGTTGGTATATGTGAAAGAGAAAGAAGTTCCTAATTTTCGCATACTATTAACTTGTTAGCACGAGAAGCAACGCTGAAAACCTCCTTCCACTGAGAACTGAAGGCAAAGTTCCATTTTTAGGAACGCCTTTTGGCACGGAATATGCTATCGAAATAGCGTAACGCCCATCGTCTTATTTAGAAATTGGATTAAGTTGAATTACAGATTCCTTTCAGGCAAAAAGAAATCTAGTCAAGTAGATTCCCTCTCCACAGAAAAAAAAAACTAATCACAATCATAAGCAGCTGCTAAAAAAAGCATTGGATGCTCTGGAATAGGATGTGCTGTGCCTTGTACGTGACCCCTAATGAAAAACAGGAAGTAGCAAAATAACCCTAGGAAACTTATCTGGCATTTTCCGCCGTTCAGGCGGACAAACAAACAGATAATAATTAACAAAAATTGAGTGACGTCACGGCTACTACACGCTGGTTCACTAACTGCGCCTGTAGATTGCTCTAAGCTGTGCTGTCATCCAAAGCTGGACCTCATAACCGATTGGGCGCTAGTAGTGATATGGTATGCTATCAGAATGCGTTTCACAAGTTCTGATTCATGAACGTGCACCATGGTTCACGAGTCATTTAGAGATACTGAATGATTGATTATCGAGAAAATGCGGAAAAAATATCACTCCTTAAGAGCCTGCGCCGAGTCGAACTTGGTTGACCAACGCATGGGAAAGTCACACACTGCGTTTCCTTTTCAATGCCTCTAAAGTTCTCCTCTACTTTCCACTCCAGCGTCTGAACTGAAAATTTTCAGATGTTCAACGCACATAATAGTTTATCTCAACCTGTACACCTCTCAACAACAGTACATGCGCGATACCCATTTTGTTCATTATTGCAGTCTTTCGACCGACCCTCACTTTTAAGGATTTTGAGGCCGTTAAAAGGATTACGACTAGATTGATTTTTGGCAATACTTTTCAAGGCAGAAGTCCAGCTCTTCCGTTTGAGATTACGCCGTACAGGATGGCGGAAAGTAGCCAGACGGTATCTTGCTTTCACTTCATACTTCTCGTCTCACTCACGTGTGATGCTCACCTCTTTCAGCATTCTTTGCTTCACTGCACGACAGAGGAAGCCCAAAGAAGCGGATGTCGTTTCTACTGTAACCAACCCACAAAACTTCCTGCCATCTCTATGTTCCTGCCCTCCCACATGGGCTTCCAGTCTTTCGCGACGTACTGGAAATGACTTAACCCTTTACAAACTAACATCCTTATGCATATTCTCCATACTGTTCTCTACACATTTCCAATGTTCTAACAAGGAGAATTTGTGAAACCATCAAGAGCTTCGTTAATTGCTGATCGTTTCCTTTATTCGCGTGACTAAAACATTTGATTCAAGGCATAGATTGTAAAGAGAAATTAGAACCTTGTCACTATTAGGGATTGAAGGGATAACAGAAAGCGCTTCTACGATACACGATTGAGGATTTAGGTATTACGATGGCTCCGAAGTTTTTAAGATCCCTCGAACATTGAATGAACAAGGTAATCCACCCTTCAAGACCACACAAAATCAGCCGACGAGAGAGGAAAAATTTCAGCTTTCTGTCTACCTTTTTATGTCCATGCTTGGTTTTTGTTTCTTCAAAGCAGCGGGATAAAGTGTTAGCAACAAGGCGAGCCCTTATTGGCTGAAACAGCATGGTTTATCAAAGTACAGGAGCACAGCAAGCTAGGGTGAACTAAATGTAAGATTTTTGCTTCTGTATTTTTGCGAATGTGACCGAAATCAAACATTACTCATGGCTCAAACAAACGCCCAGTACTTGGGCTATTTTTTTTACAGTAGGCGAGGACTGCTAGAGGCCACTGTTGACGAAAAAAGTGGAAGGCGATCAAATTTCATCCTTGAGAAGCGAACGTTAATTATCAATGTGCAAAACCGATGTGTAATCAGTCGAGGGAGTGTATTTGTAAATATTAACAATGATCATCATCATCATTGCAATAACAACAATAATAATAATTGGTAATAGTTGTAATTTCAATAATCTAGCATTCTATAATACAGTATGTGATTTTGAAATAAACTATAATTACGTCAATTTAATTTTGTACTCGATAAATATAGAAAAATTTAAAGATGTCGGATTTTTCATGTGTTAAAGTTTTTATCTCAACTTTTTTTTAAACCGTTATTAAAGCATCATTTCATAAATAATGTTGAGCTATACAGACATAAAAAATATTGAGAATTAAGAACTAGTGATTCCTCTCCACTCAACAAAAAAATCATTATAATAATTTTCAAGATATAAAGAGGATTTCACATGCCCATGTGGAGATGCCTTCCTATCTTAGAGTGCTGATGGCACCATGAGAAGATAAAATTCACATCTCCTAGTGGAATGAGACAATTTCCCATTTTAAGGAAATAAAATACATTTTCCATTTTGTAGCAAAAAGGCTTAATTCATTTGTAGTAATATTGATAAAGTAAGGAAAAAAAAACACTTTCAAAAAAGCATCATCAGGGGTTTATCACTTTATATTTGAAAGACAAGTGCAGAGAGTTCGTGCTGTTCTGAGGATGTCATATTTTGGAAACTGGAGAAAAACTAGGTAATAAATTATAAAATGAATTATGAATTGATGAAAGTAAAAATTTCAAATTAAAATATGATCATTGCAATTCAAGAGTGCTATGTCCCTATGCTGTACATGCACACTAAAGTATGAAGTCACTTATTTAATTTTGAAAGTGGAAATGTACAAAAATATAATATATTAATTTAAAGATTGTTACATACAAATATATATTAAATTTTAGTATTATTCCCCAGCTAATAATTGCTTTTCTAACTGAAAACAAATTATGTGATAATTCAAAATATGCCCTTTCTTTTTCTGTTCCTATCTAAGAGAAATAATTTGTACTGTCAGAAGTAATATAATAGACCTCTGGTTTGTATGTTTCATTTACCAATTCCAGGTCTCAAATTAATTCCCAGCTTTATCCCTTGTAAATTATGTGTTAACATGTACATGAATAAGTAGAAATTTGAAAGATAAAGTTCTCTAGAGTATTATCACTTGACCTGGGGTGGTAAATGAAACATACAAACTGAAGATATCTTTTGACTTCAGTTGCACAAATATTTAATCAAGCATGTAGCTGGCTCTGAGATAAATATCACCTCAAAAATATTAAGTTAATATTAATCACGATCAATTGATTTGATTCATTAATTTTGTTTCCACCAATCAGCTTAGAAAATTTATGGTCAGGATTCACTGTTTCACTTACTTGTTATCATATGGAGGCCTGAAAGAAATGTTAATTTACGTGGCAATTTTCACAGAGCTGTTTTTCAATTTCCATCTGTCTTGGAGTGCTGTAATGATGCTACCAGGTAACTTTTGGTGGGTCAGTATCAGTTCTTGGATTCCCTTCTGAACCTAAGAGAAAGTGTTTTAACCCCTTAACTCCCAGAGGTGATAAGCAATGTAACTTCTTCCTCTAATATGCATACATTATTCAGAAAACAGGTAATGAGAATACTCAAACTTTTCATGTAGAAGTTGTCATCTTGATTAAACACCAAATTATTGTAACTAACTAATAAGGAAAAGTGTAGAGGCAAAAGGGAGAATTCACAATCTAATCTTAGGAGTTAAAGGGTAAAACAAATTGGTCCTAGTTGTTTGAAGATTAAATGACCATAGAGAAATTCACTGAAATTACCTTTTGTAATGGAAATGTCACATTAAGACAAAGCAATACAAGGAACTATCACAGAATCAGTACAAGAGTTATGTCTGTACCTTCCCAGCTAATTCATCACTGGTCAATTTAGAATCAAAGTAAATAGGATCTCCTATGAAGGTTCTAAAATCAAAAAAAGAACAAAGAACAAAAATAATTCAAGGGAAATTGGTTATGAGTAAATATGGGTTCATATTACAAAAACCCCTTCTCAACACTTAAACCTTTAACTCCCATGAGCGACCAAGACAGAATTTCTCCTTACCATATCAATACAATGTCGAGCAGACAAGTGATGAGAATAAAGAAAAATCTTAATGAGGGGATTATTAGTTGATTCAATACCAGATTCCTCAAACTAACATCACAAAAACTATATGGCAGACAGTTAGGAGAATTACTAATGAGATCTTGGGAGCTAAAGGGTTAAACCTTTAGAAAGGTAGCTAAAGCTAACCTCTACTAAGAAGAGCATTCCTCACATGTGATATTCAGCATAGACTTCAAAACAGTTTCAGTGGTAGTGAGTCATAACGTAACCCTTGTCACAAATGCTAAAACATTTGGCAATGAGCACTTGTTAATGAGGAAGCACAAAAAATCAGACCACAAATATTGAACAAACAATTTCAACTTGGAAAGAGTTTTACAGCTTACTCTGGGAACTTAATTCCATTTTCAAGCTGACAGATCAGACATTGTAAAATTTGGGTAAATTGGTCACTAATCTCCTCCAATCAGAGAATCATAAGTCAAAATTTTTTACAATGAGCTTTTAAGAAATATACCTCAACTTGACAGGAAAACCACCATACAGTGGAACAAGTGGTAGCTTTGTCCATTCATATAACTTTCGAAACCATTCTGCAAGATGGTCAATTAAAACTCTTATCATCTTTAAATTAAGATTAACTTGCGATGAAACCATGTTGTATCCTTATAATGCTCTTCATAACTACCGGTAACTATTCAAGTCAGAGTGGGTCTAAATCAAAACAAACAATCAGGCAAGAGTTTCATAGTAATTGTACAACCTTACTCAAGATTAAAACATGATACTAATTAAAAGTTTCAAACGTGGTAAGTCAATGATTTACCTTAGGGAACAAAAAAAGCATGATATTTGGACCCGCTGAACCCTAACACTGGTATTGCTATTCTTAAACCTGTTCTCTTTACATTTCCTACTGTGCTGACATAAAGGATTTGTTTGACAAAAACCAGCTTCTAAAATCAGTAATAATGTCCTTTGTTCTCATGACTTTCACATTTGATTCAAGGGGAATACTATAAAGAGATATTAGATGCCAGTGACTCTTAGGGGTTAAAGAGTTACATTTATTTTTAGTTTTTTCTTCCTTCTCTTAAAATCATAAATATCCCTTGTACTCACTGCGTCCAATTTGAATGGAGCGGATGGCTTCTCTTACATTCTGTGTATAAACAGGATAGATGGGCTGCGGAGAGAATGACAGAGAAAAACCTGCATAATGTAAGAAACATGGAAGTGAGCAGTCATCTGCCCCCCTCTCCCCTTTCCACATCCTCCCATCCCAAGTAACTTTGCCATGCCGATGTTGTTGATGCAAAAGTAACGAAATGATATTTCGTTTACCAAGTGTAAGCAAATGCGACTGGAAGCTGTATTAGTTAAAAAATCTGAACTGACATAAGTTCAAAATCAGTCCAACTCCAACATCAAAACAAAAAGTTCACTACAATATTTCACTAATTTTTTTACATGGAGCAAAGTAACTTTTGTATGGAGCAAAGTGACTTTGATTATGGAGCAAACTGACTTTTGATTAAAGCGAAGTGACTGGGGACGAAATGACCATGGGGTGAAATGACTGGATACCTTTCATGTTCTAAGGGGTAAGACTGTGGGGGTCCTGTATGAGAAGGGGGCTGAAGAAGAAGCATTTTCCTATTCTCCCTTAACCTTATAACCATGATCTGAATTAGCTAAGATGAATTTCTTTCTGACTCTAACCTAGAAGCCAGGATGAACTTGAGACCCTATTGGGAGGTAACTGAGTATCCCGTATCCTTTTAATATTTAGCCTTAATATCCCTTATCATGTTAATTCCACTGTTTTGTTTCCCTAAAATCTCTCAGTGTAACCTAAATATCCCATATTGCATTAATTCCTTGGTTTGTTTCCCTATAATTTCACTTCAATACCCTGAAATCTCTAGTTTAAATACACCACATCCCATTAATTTCATCCTCAAGTATCCCATTTTTTACCCAAATGTCTTGTATCCCTATACCCCTAAAAGGACCTTGAGCTTAAAAGGTTATGCCTTTTTATAATTGATAACAGTGGCTGAGGTGAAATTGTGCATTAAAATAGTGACAGGGCTAGAATTTCAGCTTGAAAACTGAACAGCTTTTCTTATATGAACTGAATACCAAATTCCACCAGGTAACCACACCAGCCAGGGTGCTAAACAGACCTGAAATGGAGAGCCTTTCAATTTCCCTAACGCAGAATGAATCTGTGATTAAATACTCACCACTTTGGCCTCAAGAGCTACTTTGGCAAATCCTCGCCTTCCATTCCATATCATAGTGTAATATTCATCAGAAAACAAAGCTTCCCTAACACCTCCTGGAGAAATGGCCAATAAGTCACCATTCTAGAAAAAGAATTTCCCTCATCAGTGAACAACAAGAAACTTAAAACTATGACTGTGCACCTTTTTTTTTATAATGCCAACTAAAAGTAATTACGACAGCCTATTATATTTTTAAAGGAGGGTGCATGGCAAAAAAGCCCTTATTCCAGGTGATTAACTTGTAACTTCTCCCTAAAATAACCATACATTATCCAGCAAACAGGTAATAAGAATACTCAAACTTATCAGGTAGAGGTTGTTATCTTGATCTTACACCAAATTCTCTTCACTAATTTATAAGGAAATGTGTAACTGCTAGAAGGGAGAATTAAAATTAACACACAGAGTAACCTTGGATCTTAAACTTAGAGATTTATATTGTTTGCCACTTGAGGGTCAAAGACACACCTAAATCAAGTTCAATCCTGGGTTCTAGGTTATCACTGCGAGTTAAAAAATTTTGGTCTTCTATTAATAAATTCAAATTAACTTTTAATCATCGTTTATCAGCAAAATTCAAACCTTTAGAATCTCCACACATTGCTCTCTGGAGCGTCCTTCTACAGCTCCACAAACTTCGAGAAGCAACTGAATACCTTCAAGAAAATTAGGTATAAATAAGGTTAAAGGATATGGTGTGGTAACTATCAAGAAAAGAGTTTTTCAAATTTTTGTAAGGGATCATTTACTGCATATGAGTGTAATGTATGTCTCAATCTGTTGTTACGACAAATTTACTTGATGGTCAAGATTTTAATTTCACTCTCACTCACAGGAGTTGTTCATTAAGCTAATGATTAGGCAATGTCTTTTTCCTTTGTTATTTTATCAATTGTTTTCACTCAAATTTACAAGTTAGTTTGATATATTATTATGTGTGTGTAACCATCAGAGAGTGCGGACAAAGTTTCTGAGTGATACAACATTGTAAAAATCAATAGTCTCATATTAGTTTTTTGCTGTTTTGCTATAACATTAAGATTGATTTGAAGTGTCCTGTTTTTACTGATGTATAGGAAAGAAGTATATTGGTTTTACAAACTTAATTGCACAATAGATAATAACATGTCAAAGTTAGACAAAAGTTTTGAAACATTCTCTACATGCCCAAATCCATCCATCCACAAACCTGCTCAACAACTATTGAAATAGTTTGAATGTATAAAATTCACCATAACATATCTTTTCAAACCTGTTTTGATTTTTCCATTTTCTTTTTTCATGCCACTTTCCCTAATCCTCTGCAGATCAACAGTACAACTGGTAACTAAATATTATTTCAGCCTAGCAGGCCATAACAGCACAATACCTGGTATATGAAACAAAAATGTAGCTGCCACATTCCTCAGCCTTCTCTTTTTGCAAAGCAGTAGTCTAGATAGTATGTAATACATATCCAGAGGCAAGGCCCCATGATAGTATATCAATAGTGCTGGTCCTTTGTCTGGTAACTTCTCCATTCCCACAAGGTCATAACCTTGAATGAAATAAAACAATAATTGACCCCAATTTTTGTAAAATTTCATAAGGTAGAAAACTTTGACAAAAAAAATATAAAGAAAGAACTTAGCTTTGTAATGAGCCTGGAACAAAAAGTCAGAGTTCAATCAGAATCCCCAATCAGAATCAAACCCCAGACTTTTTTGTGTTTGGCAATGATCTCTCAGTGAATTAGCTTCAACTTTTTACCCTCCATAACTGACTGATATGTAACTTCTCCCTATAATATCCATACATTATCAGGTAAAGAGGTGATGAGAATATTCCGACCTATCAGGTATAAGTTATAGCTTGACCTTACACCAAATTGTCCTAACTAATTTACAAGGAAATGTGAGCAGCTAGTGAGGAGAATTAACAATCAGATCTTGGGAGTAAAAGTGTTTAAAAAAAGTCAATCTCTTCATAATAATTTCTTATTAGAACATCAGAAATCAGAAATGTCAAAATTTTAATTTTTTTTTGTTTTCCTCATATTTACATATATATAGGTTATTTGGTTTAGGAACATAAATATTACATAACTTTCCTCTCTAGAATATTCATTTCTCTCAGTGCCCTTTACCTTGCTTTCAGGCAAATGAGGAATCAAATTTCTAAGGATTTACTTTTCTCCCATTGGTTTAAGGATAACACTCCCACAGCACGCCCCTGACCCAATGACCCAGCAAGAAAACATGAGCTACTGGGAGAAAAATTTGGCTCCAACCTGACTAAAATCACACCAACAAAAATAACTCAAAGGAAAACAGCTTTTTATGACAACTCAATATGTGTTTTCATACAAGTGTTGTAGCACTGAGTCAATCTCAAGAAATGGTTTTAGGTAAATTGATTTTGAAAGAGACCTCTAAGAAATTTTTTTTTTGAGACCTGGGTCATTGGCACCCTCTCGTGTTTCCTGTTTCTCAAATGAACGTGATGGTTAAAAAAAAACATGCAGAGATTAACCATCCTTAGTTTACAATATAGCTGTCTTAAAAAGTAGAATTACAAATACTTTTAGGTTTTAAGTAGATTTAATTCATCATGTATAGCATGGACGGTAAAAAATAAGGAATATTCTATTGCAAAACTTGTAAGTGACACCCCTATGAGAGATCACAGGATTTCCGGCTCTAGTTTCAAGAACGCACACAAGCTAGCTTTGGCCATGCAACCGGTAAGAAACATTTTCACGTATGCACCCAACGTAAAATTGCTAAGGTTGGTGAGCTAGCCTATTTATGAGGCTACAGATGTATATTACTAAAACGAATAGAAATTGTTTACGTTCAATAGCTAAAACAACTGTTTAGGGAAAATCTGCAAAAAAGAAGAAAAAAAGAAAAGCGCAAACTAGAAGAGGCAGCAAAATACATGTGCGTATGTACATCGCGCACCCATGAAACCTGTCTACTATTTATCAATTTCGCGAAGCACTTGCAAGAAATACCTTCGTGACTAAAATTGTTTTTCTTACCATGCCAAAGGGAGCCATGCGCATCGAACACAGCTGCAACCGTTTGCATTGCACCGTCCCAATAATTCTCTGAGTATGCGTCGAAAATCTCACGCCGTCTGTGACGATAAACGTGCAGAAAAACTGCAGCGCCATACATCATGATAAGCATTACAACTGGATAGACAAAGGCCACGACAAAAGGCGAGAGAAGGACCACCAGCCAGTCCATGGTTCTACTGCGCGACCTCACTTAACTACGCGCGGGTCACGTTTCCGGTGAGATTTTTATCTTTTGGAGAGGAACCTGGTCCTCACTCTCTAATCAGTTTAATCAGCTGAGATGAGATGTATCCCTTCATTTCAAATGTCCTTAAGTGTACCCCGATAAAATAAAAAAGCGCTCCAATGACTGCTTCGAGCAAAAAGATTAAATAGAACTTCTTATATTCACTGCTTACAAAATTTTCCTCATTTTCTTTTTTAATGTCAATCTTTAATTGCATATGTTAAAATAACTCATTGTACTAACCTACACCACACCCTATTTAACCGCTGACATAGAGGAAGTATTCCAAACAGATCCAATTACGAATGCCGAAAATTTTACCGCTCCCTTCAAGACCAAACAGTCGCGATCGTGAGAATGCTATTTTAGCAATAGAGTGACTACAGAAAAAGTGATGGATCCCCACCTACGAAATTTGATCTGGAGTGACATCGAATACAGACTCTTCGAGTTTGTTGATCGCTTTCCTTTGCCTCAAATTGTCAAAGTGCAAGAAGGTTACTATGGCCCAACTGAAGACTCATGCATTGGGGCCGAACAGATCCTCACGCTACATTGCGTGAAAACTACAGAGAAAGTTTTAGCTCGAGACAGAAAGAAACGAGAGCTTCATATTCCTTTGAACTGTTCACAGAAGGTCGAGCTTCGTCCCGCCGAGTTCAGAGGAATTTACGAAACCGTGGAGGAAATTAGTAGAATTCCAGCGAGATTTGTAAGGGTGACCCAAGGGTATTATCTGGAAGAAGAAGCAGTGAGCCTGAATCCCGGAGATAAACTGGAAGTGATCCGCGTGGAGCATGGAATTGGAGGGAAAGAGGACTGTGTCGTGTTCCTTACTGAAGAGCGCAACCCCATTCGCTTACCTTTTAGTGTCAGTGCTGGATTCCAGTCCCTGCTTGATGGACGGGAGTACTATCTGAAGGAGCTAATGATGTCGTCATTTAAGCTGCCAGTCTACTTTCAGTTCACTGAACCACCTTCTATCACTCGAAGATCAAGTGAGGGCGTTTTTAACACATCACTCGGGGTGCTGTCATTTGAAAAAGTATATCAAGATTCTACCATTATTTGCACTACTAAAGAAGGTAGCGTTAGAACAGTGGTCAGCTGCCCCAAAGATCTTCCAGTCACAATCAATGTGGCTCGTGGGGCACTGTCAGATGACAAGGATTATGTCCGCATTTGTCGCTTGTTTCACGATGGGGTCAGTCTTTTGAAGATTGAGAACATGGAGATACAGAACATTTATGCATCGAGGAACACCATCAGGGAGTATGAGTATATTGCAGATGATTCATCACCACCCCCACCTGTTCCTCTCCGTGAAAGTGCAGAGGACTCTTCTTCATCCAGTAGTCAGGTACCTGGAGCAAGTAACTCTGATTCTGGTGATGACAGCCATGAATACACTTACATCGACGAACCTGTGCCAGACAAATCCACCCTTTCCCAAGACCTGAAGCCAAATGGTGTCCTACCATCTGATGGTAAGGCTTCAGCAGAAATGGTGAATCTTGATAAAAATCTGGATAAAGTGGCTATCAATCATGATGATGAAGATGATGATGCCTACCAAAATTATCCTCCTCCTGTCATGAAAGGTGTTGAACCAACCACAAATAAAGAGCCTGTCAAACCTCCACGAAAATCAAAAGAGGCAGCACAACAGAGTCCTAAAGAGAATAAGCCAGAGGTAAAAAAGATCCCACCAGCTATCAAGCCAAAGCCACCTTCAATAAAGGCCAAGCCAATGGGGAAGCAGAATGAGAAAGAGAAACAGTTTGTTGTACCAGATGATCTCTCCCAAATGTCCATAAGAGAAGTGTCCCAATTTTTGAGACATTACAGTTTTGAAAATTTTGTGGAATTATTTGCTGAAAATGAGGTGGATGGTGACCTCCTTGTCAATCTGACTGAGGAGGAGCTTAAGGCACTGGGGCTGAATGCTTTTCAGTGCAAGAAAATATCAAGACTTGTCAATGGATGGAGACCTAAAAAGTAACTCTGAAAGTAAGATACATGTACAAGCAGTATACATTTTCTAATTTTGGACATTAGAGTTGGTTCATAGTTTTAAATCTTGGTTAACTTTGTTTATAAAAAGTGAGCTCAGTTCAATATTTTCTCAACTCTTTAACACCAAATATCAGATTGTTAATTCTCCCCTCTAGCTGCTACAAATTTCCTTGTAAATCAGTTAAAAAAATGTAGTGTTTGATCAAGATGAATTCTATCAGATAAGTTTGAGTATTCCCATCACTTCTTTGCTGGATAATGTCTGGATATTATTAGGAGAAGTTGCATGTTAATCATCTCTGGGATTTAACAGGTTAATACGGTTTTCACATATATGATTTTTCGCATATATGAAATATGATTTGAGTTATCCTTGATTGTATGCTCTCATAGAGTATAAAAATGAGTAGTATCAGTATCATCTATACATCAGTATGTGTATTGTCTAATCTGTTTTGTGTAGATTTCCTGATGTACTGACATAAAATAATAATAATAATAAAGTGAATATTTATACAGGATAGCCCTACAGTGCAAGAGTACTTAGTGTTATCAAAGGGGTCCTGCTTAAAAACATAAAATATAAGGATAAAAAAAAGGAAAAAAATGACTTTGTTACTTATGCAAATGTAAACTACACTATACAAAATATTCATCTACAGACTTCCTAAATAATAACCTACCACTAATCTGCCTAGTTTTTATAGGTAAAGAATTAAAAGTTGAAGTGCCTAAAAAATAATATCTTTTCCGAGCAAATTCAAGTTTTACTGAAGAATCTTTGTAACAATCAAGAGCTTTCATTGGCAGCCATTTCCTTTATTTTCATGACCTTAATGTTTGATTTAGCAGCAATACTGTAAGGAGAAATTAGATGCATGTCACTTTTAGGGGTTTAAGAGTTATTAAGAAATTCAATATTGGAACCATTAACTTGTGTTACTGGTTATGTATGTTACTGGTATGTTTTTTTGTAGTTAGCAATGGTACAGTAACTCTTAACCCTTTAACTCCCAAGATCTCAATAGTGATTCTCCTTACTGTCTGCCATACAGTTCTTGTGATGTTAGTGTGGAGAATTTGGTATCGGATCAGCTTATAATTCACTAATTGATATTTTTCTTTATTCTCATCACTTGTCTGCTTGATATTGTATTTATAATGTAAGGAGAAATTCTGTCTCGGTCACTCACAATTAACACTAACAATTAAGTTCTCTTCTCTAATGTAATACATAATCCAGCAAATATTGATGATTACAGAAAATCGTTTCAATTGTAGGTAGCATCATGGTATAACACCACTTAGAAAAAAAACTGTTTAACATTCTCCTTACATGTTCACAACAAAATTTTTAAAAAGCTAGATGGGAGAATAATTATTGGTGTAACTTTTGGACAGTCATGGTTCAAAAACTTGTTTCTTTAATAAGAGTTTTACTGGAATTGTAATCCTCAAAATATTTCATGTTTTATTAGGTGGCCAAGTTAAGTATTATGCTATACAGACTTTCAAGTCTTTAAAGATTTACCTGTTAACAGTTTATCTAACTTTGTTTATTGATAAGCTTTTACTATATTTAAGCTATTTGTTTAGTTATTGAAAGGAGACATGCAATGTTATGAGATACTTACTGTAAGAAACATGCTGGAATCATGTATGTTATCATAGACTTTTATATTTTAACAATGCTACAGGTAACATTTCTGTTCATGGCATAAGAGAATTTTCTATATCAGTGGCAGCATTGGGGGGGGGGGGGGGGGGGGGGGGGGAGATTCTTCCAGAAACACATTATTTAATGTTAATTAAATATCACAAAGTGTGGATGGTGAGCAAGACAGAATGTAATAATAATTATCCAATAATATATTCAAGGTATGATTTTTTGTAGTTAGCAATAGTACAGTAACTCTTAACCCTCTAACTCCCGAGATCTCATTAGTGATTCTCCTTACTGTCTGCCATACAGTTCTTGTGATGTTAGTGTGGGGAATTTGGTATCGGATCAGCTTATAATCCACTAATTGATATTTTTCTTTATTCTCATCACTTGTCTAATTGATATTGTATTTATAATGTGAGGAGAAATTCTGTCTTGGTTCACTCATGGGAGTTAAAGGGTTAACAATTTAAATTTTGTAATAAGCACAATACTTGCCCATACATATTTTGATTTGACTCACTTAAAGCTTGCTGTAGAGTGATTAAAGGACTTCAAAATAAAATCCATGTCAGATTTTGATTGAGTTTGGTAAGATTCCTGATAACTTGATAAAATTAAGGATACTTGCAGCTCCTTCTCCTTTCCATAATCCAATCATCTATGGGAATAAAAGCTAAAGATTACACAGTGAAGCAGTCATCAATATCCCTCGACTCTTCTCAACCAGCATGAGCTAAAATAATGAAAATGTTGGAAAATCGAAGTAATTTTGCTTCAACTTGCACTCACATCTGGCCTTTTCCCTGATATTCTTTGTTTGAATTCTAAAAATAGCAGAAAACACATTTGGACATATGCTAATCCAGACATGATTACCGGTAGATGGTCGTCATGATCACACACTTTGTCTTAAACATCTTGGGAATCTTGTTCCCTGACAAGAAATTTTATTTAGTTCCAAGTGGCACCCATAGTTCACGTCTTCAATTTTAATGATATTTAGAGCATGCCAGCATTTTCTTGTTATCATTTTTTGGAAATATGAGGATCTATAATTGCACTTGATCCAAAGAGGAGAAAGTATGAAGAATTCTACAAGAACTATGATGCAGAGAAAGTTGCTGAACAGATGTGGGTCGAGGAACAAGCTCATCAAGCACAAGCAAAATTGCACTATGCTGAAAGAATCAACTATAGTGCACATGTATCACCAACAGGCAGGAACTAAACTCCTTTAAATAGCTTATGAAGTAATAAAAGATTTCTTTCTCTGCTATTCTAAATTTGCATTAAACTTAGTTTTAAAAAATGTGTTTCTACAGAATTATAAAACCAATTCTTAATCCATGCTTTTGCATTATAAAATGTGTTTTGCAGCTAAGGAGTTTGGATTGTCAAGGTTGGGTTACTTTTGGTGGGATCAAGACATTACAGCCTGGCTCATTGTAGCCTACAGAGCAGGTGTCTTACTTGGGCAAGCTAGCATTATAAGCTAGCCTCCCCCTGCCTCTCTATTCTTTTAACTGTCCCTCACCCCCTTGGTACAAATTCCTTTCTTTCCTCAGAGTTTGAATTGTCAAGGTTGGATTGCTTTTGATGGGATCAAGACAGAGCATAGCTCACTACAACCTGCAGAGAGTAGGTGTCTTATTTGGACAAGCTAGAGTTACCAGCTCACCATTGTATATCTGGCTGGACATATTTGACTTAGAGTTAGGAGGACAGGGGAGTGAGCTAAGAACC